CTCATTTGAGAACATCGATTTTTAGCTAAATGGTTACTAAACTAATTAGGTAACCCACTTCAGGTGCATAATGAGTTAAGACTAATGCCCAAATTGGATCATTAAACAAAAGAATATGATTGTGTGTGGTCGAGGAAAAATTGTGCAATTATAAAAAGATAAGATCCGAAAGTGATTATGTTGTCATTTTCACATTGTGGGCAGAGATGGGTCCACTTTGTAAGGTTCCAGGTTAGTGCTGATTTCAATTGCCACCCAACTAAATAAGATATGTACCAATTTTGATGCTAAATTAAATTAGGTCCAGCCAATCCACTTAAGGCCTATAGAATAGAGTTGATACTGGATCAGCTAATAGTGGGTAAGACTTACCCAAAGCCTGTCATTTCGGCCCATTTGAAACCTCCCTCAATCCAGCAGACCTTGGGCATACGTACTGAAGCAACTACTTAGTACAATATTGTTGGCACTTCATATTCAAAATCTCAACTTTCATTTTTGCATGGGACAGTGGTGGGCATTGGGTGAAGGTTAGTGTAGAAGGCAATATGTGTAGTCGCCGTACATGCTAGAATGCACACAGCGAGGAGAGCCTGTCCATCGGGCTACGTGGAGGATCGTGCTTACCTATAGACGCGGAGGCATACACTCTAAACAAGGGCATTAGCAAATTTGGATGGGGGAGTGAGTCATGGACCTAGAGAATAGTTCCTACCTATGTGGGACGACAAGATTGTCATAAATTGTTGTAATGATTCATATTATTGAGTATGCACTAAGATGACAACGTATGTAGCTATTGCCACTATACCTATCCCAAATTCATTGTGATCCTATGTCGAGCTTAATGACCATGTGGCTGGTTAGCTGGCTGGGGGCCTATGCTTGGTGTGGGGTACTGCATGCTGCACAGGCAATTTGTGTCAAGCGGTATCATGAAGCCTGATTCGATAGAAAATAACAAGTTGTGTTAGACCATATCCGAATACGGTCTAGTCTCCTTCACACATTTGAGTAGCACAGCTAAAAATGGAAATATTTCACATTTTTGGAACCCGTAGGCATCTTGCAAAAGATCGTGCACCGAACATTTCTTAAGAAGCCATATAGAGTCCAACGTAGGGATCAAAATGATAGTCCTAAAGTCACCCACTTGAATCAAGACACTCGAGAGACAAATTGATGAAGATTGAATAAGGATGAGTCCATTATTTTGAATTCGTACGTGAATCAAAGAGTTTGATGCTTAGATTTTTGGTATTCTCAAGAATCAACAGAAACTAGAAAATGATTATATTCTAGTATTCATTTAGAATCAACAAAATTCAATCACGTGTTCATTTTTATTTATTTCTATTGCTTTCGCCATGCTACGTGACAAATCTTTTTGTAATTAATATCTAATGATGATGAAATGTTTATTACTTTTTTTTTTTTTTTTCTAAAAATCTTCTAAAAATGAGCTGGAAATTTCAATTACTCCTCGAATGCATGTTTAGTATGAGATAATGAATTGTACTATAACGAACAAGATTTTAAGGCTATACTGCATATTCTCCTTTCAAAACTATAACCCATATTACCATTTAATTCACGGACAAGGGCAGGGAAGAATACGGTGAAACTGAAAGGGTGCTTTCAATATATGAAGTTTATCTTTACATGTTATACCTAAGAAATGCAGCTATTGATATATCCATATCATCTGCCATTTCTCCACTTGCCCTGCCAAGGGACTCCATATAATTGATAGGGAATTATTGAGAGCAATTACCCAAGGCTCAAACCCACAC